GGCGCGCGGGCCGGGGCGCTGCGTCCTCCGCGCGGTGCCTCGCGGCGTGCCGTCGCCTCGGCGGCTCCGCGGCACGCCGGCCGTCACCCCTACCGCGTCCGGCCTCGCCTCCAACCGTCGAGAGCTGGGAGGGATATCGTGTGCGACGTCGTCAGAAAAACTATTAAAAGCTAAAGTTTCATCGAAAATAAATCCACCTCTAACCTGAAGCATAAGAGTCCTCATAAAAACCTTCGGGGAGGATATTAGCTATTGCTGTAAAGGAGTCCAGTAAAAACCAAACCCCAAAAACACACAGTGAAATACATTTAAAATACACGTGTGGGAACTTATTTTTAATTAAAAAAAAAATAGTATTGTTACTTTACTGGAAACTTGCATTTGAGAATTCCCACATTTCAACAACTTACAGAGAAGATTTACGTTCGCGTTTGGTTAACTTTATAAGGATTACAATAATCCGTGCAATTAAATCAGGATGTTCAGATGGGTTTTTCTCTTTCAGATTAAAATGTTATTATTTATAAAGTGACCGGTAATGAAACTACTGTTTAGCACAGTCACTACAACAACTGAAGCTTTAAAAGTACGCTAGCTTGCAAACTGCAAATTTACTTGGATTTATGGTAAAAACATAAAGCCCATCTGAGATTAACATGCCAATTTGTTATATATTCCGCAAGATTGATTGCCACTCAGCTCCTCCTAATAACCAGATTTAGAGATAAAACAAATAGAGTTAGCAGGTACGAAAGGGAACCCCTCTTGAGTGGTTTGTTTTCTGTTTGCTACGAAAATATGTATTATGTATTTTTAAAGTCATGGTGGAGAAAAAATTAGAGTAAAAAGACTCGAATAAAATGCACTCTTTAGCCATACTACTCTCTATGCTGCATTTACTGAAATGTAGCATGATTTCTTTTAAAACCGCTGTTTTATATATATTTTAAGGGATGTAAAAGTAGATGCTCTCAGAAAGACGCAATGCACCTTGGCACAGCTTTTTCCGGAAAAAAACCCACAAAGATTTTACACAACGACGAATAAATGAAAATTAACGGAATGATTATTTGGATCACAAAACAAAGGACTTCACCGAACCAAGGGGAAACACCAACTTCTGCCTGCACGATGCAAAGATTTCACGAAAAACACTGAAAAATGAGATGCTGGATGGCACCTCCTTACAAAGAGGGATCGGGGATATTCTTTAAAATATCGGGGAAAAGCCGGGGTAATTACCAGCTCTCTCGTTACCGCTTGAGCAACCCACAATGCCTCTGGCAGCAGCTGGATCCCAGCGGTTGACACCTGGGCTCACCCCCAGCCCGCCTCCGCTGCAGGTACCACAGCTCAGAGACCTCACGGGAAAATGAAGATGCTTGTCCCGCATCCCGGGCCGAGACCCACGGAAATTTCTCATAAATCCTCTCCGCACATCTCGTTGAACATGCAAATCCATAACGCGGCGGCAGCCCGACAAAGAAGCTAACCGGCACGGGGAAGGGATGCTCGCCCCGCGCAGGTACGCGCCGCCCGCGCCCGCTCCGCGGCGTCCGCCGTTGAAAAGCCACATGAGCAGCACACGCTCGTCCCCACCGTGCAATTAATCACTTCCAAGTCGGGACAAGCGCCGAGACTGTTTAACTCTCCTTACCTCGTCCTCAGCCTTTAGCGCCAAGCGCTCTGCCAGCCCGGCAGCGGGCTCGTTTCTATCTGCCTGCAACCGAACAAAGCCACCGCGACCACAAGCAAGCGAGCAGACGAGCGGTACTTACTGAAGATGGCAAACCTGGAGGAACTTTTCGAACTTTCTTTGTTTGTACTTCTGAAAATCCCCCCCCCCGAGATTTTCTACAGACCCAGCTGCTAATCGCCCTGCCCGCCGTCTCGCGCCAGCCTCGCAGCAGTTTTGGTAACACCGAGGGGATGCCACTGCTCTTAAGTCTGACAGTAAAATGCTGGAAAACTGTTCATATTTTGATCTCGAGTGGTAGGGCCTTTGTTTTCCCCTTCCACGGGTTTGCTTTGAAAAAGCGATTTTTTAAGGCTCCTTGCATGCTCGACAAAGAGGACAGAGAGGAGCAATCAGCTAACGTTAAATAAACCCCTCCGAGAGTCCTGGCGGCGTCCGCGGACGCTCTGCCGCTTATTGTATTTATCGCAAAGTATTGCTAAACAGGACGAAACTCCGATTATTTGTTGCAATGGAAAAAAGAAAGGTTGAACACAAAGTCACTCACCCATAGAGGTGCTGTGGAGAGGCCTCCGCCGGGGGTTATTGCTAGAATACTGATAGTACTGGGAGCCAGGCTTAGTGGGGGAGAGCGCTCCTGGGTTGCCAATATCCATGTCACCTCCAAGGAGACTTTGCTAAAAGATTAAAAATATATACGTGTGTGCGCGTGCATGTTAAATCCGACTTTCCTCATCATTAGCTATTTCTCATTCCTAAAAATAACACAGTCAAGAAACCTGCACAAGCAACTGAAACACGGAAACGAGAACCTGCCAAAATTTTAAAGGAGACATTACAAAAACCCCCGGTTGAGCATCTTTTCCTTTAGTAGGAGAAGACGCGGTAATTCATTTAAAATACGATTATTTACATTTACAGGAGACTTATTGCCTACTTAGTCAAATGCAATCGGTGCTTTAAAAACTTTTGGAGCTCTGTTAATATATCGGAAGGTAATTTAGTTTCTTCACTGCGAGCAAGATAGTTAAGTGCACGGATTCAACAATAATAAAACTTAAAAAATAATCCTGCTGTTGACAGAGCGGTTGGTTCAGCGTGGATGAAACAGCTTCATTGTCTATCCCCGTGCAAGGCAAAACTCACACCCGCGAATTAAAGATATCAGATTTTGCACACCAAAAATCCGCACAGCAGGCTGTGCGTTAATACGCGATTAAAACGTGAAAATAAAATTAGACGTTGTTAATATTTTTTGCAACGCTATCAGAAGAAAAAAAGCACCTCAGAAACCCCAAAACAATTAACGCTATTGTATAGCCGCCGCAGTAGCGGCAGCAGCGGACTTTCAATATATCCATTTTATGCCTGTACCATTAACTAACAAGACGCATCCTGGTGACCGCAACATTTTCTCAGCTACGAGAGGACTACGGTTTCGAGACGAGAGCAGAAAACAGTATCTGACCCAGGCTATAAGAAAAATGTTAAATCTTTAAGAGACGATGGCAGAAGAACAATTTCCTGAGTAACGTTCTATTTGCTATAAACTACGTTGAAACTTACCCATAATATATAAATCCCCTGATTACACTCTGCATTGAACACATTGTTCTTTTAATTATTCTGATACGCAATAAAACAGGTGTAGATACCACCATTTATATTAAGAACAAATTTACCATTTAATAAAGAAATTTTAAAATTAAGTACCAAAAATCTAACTTTATCGTTACTTGTAATCAACTTTTACTGACTGAACTAATTACTGTACTTGATAAAGTACAGAATGTGTTTTCCCTAATCTAAATTCTAATCACCATGTCACTCACAACAGACTTAGTAATGCTTCACTAACACACTATTCACATGCAAAATACTCTAAATAGGCCAATTATGACTCTGCCCCTGTTCCCTGGTTAACCCGCTGAGAACTGAAAAATTTCACAAGGCAGTCACCAACTAAAACAAAGGCTCCTTGTTTTAAATTAAGACAGTCTTTTTGATTCCTAAATAGCTCAACAAAGTGGCATGTCTTCTGCTGAAAGCAGTTGGTCAAATATGACCCATGAGCTGGAAAATCAGAAATTAAAACATCCTTACTCCTTGACTATACCTCCAAACACATTTAAAGATAACTTTTGATTCTAGAAAACTATATTCCTCTTTTTTCCCAGAGAGGCGAAAGGAGAAGCGCCGAGGAGGGACGGACAAATGGGCTCCGACCGGTTGGGGCTGAAACCCTTTGCTGGTGTGCAGCCTAGCATCTGCCTTTACAGTCCTCTCCGAGCCCGAACGATACAAAACCGCCAGTCAGAAGGCACTTTTGGCTAATATCTTTACGTTCAGCTAATGCCTAATATACACCTGCAATGACTACGCTCCTTTTAATAAACAACACCTGCACCGGCAAAAATGGTTGCAAGTCTATTGCATAATGGCAGGGAAATAGATGCACAAAACTCTCGGGAAAAAAGGGTTATCGATTCACCGTGAATCTCCTCGGGAAAGAAAGGGAAATTTATTGAATGTCTTGGAGCATTTCAGAATGAAACAGCACAGAAATTCTCTTCAGTCATATATTTTTAGCACGTATACGTTTTAACATAAAGACAGACCTGCTAAATCTGTGCATGCTTTATCCATATGTCGGGTAGTCTGAAAGACTTAGAGCCATCAGCTGTATAAATTCCTATACCCAGCCTACTAGATTTCATTTGACTTTAAAAAAAAAAAAAAAAAAAGCGTATATAAGGCAGCGTTTGCAAACTATTTTAGATTAAACAAGATTCACTTTAGGAGCATAAAACATACACATACCCTATGTTGTTTTTGTTTTTTCATCCAAACATTTTTCTCTATAAAAAGAGTCAGAGGTTTCTATAGAAAAAAAAAAAAAAATAAATCCCAAACGTGTATTATTATATTAGAAGGAAACACATGTCCCAGGCTGAAGGGCTGCATACCTTTTGTTTAGCCGGCGACGGAAGACGTCGCCCTGCCACCAGTTGCACTTTGCAACGCCCGTTCGTTCCTCTTGACCTAACAGGTAGCTGCTGGCGTGGGGCTTACGTTCGGCGTCCCGGACCTGAGGTTCTCCCCCCGGGAAAGCAGCGGCAGCGGGGGTCCCTCGGCAGCCCCGCGCGCCCAGCGACCGCTGCGCGTCTCGCCACCGACAAAAGGCAATCCAAGTGCTATCTTACCGACAGCGTTTTCTACAACAAAAATTGATTTCGTTTTGAAAAACGCAGCGCAAAAATTTTCAGCCCGACTGTCACGGACTCGTTCCTTCGCTCTCTTAAAGAAAAAACCCACAAAGAATTAACCCAAACCAGAGCAAAGCCCCCTCCTTTGTCTCCTACGGGACAGAGACGTTCTTACAAGGTAAAAAAAAAAAACCCAAGAGGTGGGTTTGTGCGTTAAGGGGACCCCACCGGGCACTCCGGGGAGGGAAACGACGATAAAAATATAGACGTAGTTATTGGGAGATGCTTGTGAAGGGAACAATGGGCATTTATTACTGTTCAGCCTACATGTCACACTGCTAATGGCCTGCAACAAAGAGAGAGATAAAACGTTTACAAACCACAACGCCGTCGATTACGCAGCCTTTGGAGCTCCCCTTCGCTCCAAACTGGATCTTAGAAAGGCAATGAATTATTCGGCATCAAAGTTAATATTTACCCCTAAGAAACGATGAGCTTAAAAGCCAAGTGTGACATTTGTCAAACTCCCCTCCGGTCTCTAGGGGTTGGATGGGCGTATACGGTGCGTAGGGGGGAAGCGGGCTACCTTCGGGTGCGAGCGGGACGCGGGGCGTCGCACAGCTTGGAGCTCATCTGCGTAAATCCTGCAGGCGTATTCTTGCATTAGAGCATCTACCGTACTCACAGACCTATGCCGTTTGCAGGTTATTCGTTTCCTAATAAACAAAGCCACTGAATATCAAATATATTGAATTTGCCAGTTGAATGTGAGAGTTTGAGCTAAAAAAAATCACAGAAGGGAAAAAAAAGCAGCGGAGCAAAATGCATTTTCACATTGAGGCACGCAGCTGTATTTTTTATCGGCTGCAATGCTTTTGCCTTTCTCCTTGTTACGCACAATCCCATCGTCTTTCTAGCAATTTGTAAAATAAGTCGCCGACTAGCGAATCCTGCCTCCGAAATCTGAATAACTAGACAAAGAATTAAAGCTGGGGAGGGAGAAAACATGCCCGTACTATGGCAAAGTACTATCCATATGGATAGGATATTACCCCTCCTGGAAAAAACAAATGTTGTTTCCATCGCAAACCTGAAGTTTTGCTTTTCAAATGAAAAAATCATGCAAATTTCACGTAAATATTTGTTTCAGACCTAATAGGCAGGAAACACATTTACAAAAAAATACTTTATTTTCCCCTTTGTGACAGAAACAGGTGAGATGAGAGCCTGACAGAGTGCTGCATTTTACTAAGAGAACGTTAATTCAGATTAAAGGAAAACGGCCTTGAAGCCTGTAATCCGAAAGCCTCTGAAAACACCGATCAGGGAAAAATACCTCAGAAAAGGCCTTTTTTTTTTTGCCGACAACCTGGATATATGTATTTTTTTTTGACATCTTCACGCTACGCCATGATCCAGTATCAAACGCCACATCACGGGGATGTTGCAGGCAAGAGAAAAACGGGCTTAGATGAAAACAGATTAAGCTCCTTTTCTGAACGATTGCCAAACGTTGGTGGGTCGCGCTCACGTTTGAGTATTCCTGCGCGCACAGCTGCAGTCCCGCACACCGCTCCCAACCTGCGGGATGTATAGCGACGGCGGGACACACGCTCCCCTCGCCGAAAGCCTGGGAGAAGCGTCGCGCGGGCGCGATCGGAAGCAAACCGCCGCATCGCGCGCCGCCGCGCCTCTGGTTTCTCCCACCCGGTTGCGGGAGGGAGGTTTCTCCCTCTCGGTGGAGAGGGTGAGGAGCGGGGATGAAGGCTGAGAGTGCCGGGGTCCTCGGCATCTGCAGGTGTAGCCGGCAAACCAGCTGAAGGGAGCCGGAGCGGCGTCGCGCCCTCGGTCCTCGCGTCGGGTGGAGCGGGGACGTCTGCCCTCCGGCCGGGGCGGCCCAGTGGCCCCACGCAGCTGGCGGGGCCCACAGGTGCCGGGGCACCCCTCCGGAAAGCGCCGCGGGGCTCTCGGCCAGCCCTGCTCGGCCTCTGCACGCCCAGAGAACACAGGCACGCAGACATATTTTACACAACTTTATCAGCTACCTTGCCCAAAAGATATCATTTTAAAAGCAAGCCCTTTTTTTGCAATAAATTTCACGTGTATGATGAGAATTCATGCGCTTCATCTAAAAAAAAACCCGGAGTCCTGCTATTTTTCACAATCTTGCACCATTTCTTAAATTAAAATTCTTTACACTTTGAAAGATCAAAGCTTGTTTGCTTGCTTTATCCGCGTGTAGGCCTTCCCGGCTCTCCCTGCGAACGCCGCGTCTCTGCATTGTTCCCTCTGCTGCGGCACCGACGTCTCCGTGGGCCGGCAAAGTAGGGCAGGGAGGCTGTGGTCCCGCGGCCCCCGCGCCTCCCCGGGGAGCCCGGCCGGCACCGAGCTCCCGCTCCGCCGGGGTACCCGACTGTCGGGGGGCTGCCGTGCCATTGAATTATGTTTTTTTCCCCAAAAAAAGAGCAGGA